CCAGAAAATATTGCAGGAACAATATAAAGAAATCGATGATATACAGGGTCTGCAGCAAGTTGTAATACCGAAGGTAATTTTATTGACCCTATTGACATCCACCTGCCCATTTCGTTTTTATGTACTTTAATTGTCTTAGGAAACCTACACTGAAAATGATATCTAAATTTGGAATACAATCGAAGACGAAGAACCAATTGATTTAGAGAAATATGCCGAGGATACTGCAAAAGCTGAAAATCCTATTAAGCTATTGAAAACTGACTACGCTGGCATAATAATATTGAGAACTCTACGTGAAAAGCGGTCCAAAAGTCAATTTCCTCATGCATGAAGCAAACATCTATTCGCGAATTCTTATAATAAACATTCATATGTCCATTTATATTTTCCTAAGTATACATTTATTCCAAAGATCTGTAGCACTTACATACACAAACATGAATTTTGAGCAAATAAAACAAGTTTTTGAACAAAATAAGTCAACCTTAATATAGTGAACAACCTGGATGCTGTGGCCATGCAAAAATTATGCAAAAATTAGTTCACTATATCCAGACACGACTGTAATCAAATTTAAAAAAAATTTTATAATTTTTATCTTCCAACTAAATTTAAGGAAAAATCCGGGCCCGTTGGGAAACAACCCCACCCTAAAGTTGGGCCTGCACATAGATGTATGTACAATCGACTTGTATATATGTAAATATATATACTTATTCATCAAGAACCTTATCGAAAACCTACCTGAAAATCGAAAAAGTTACCGTTTTTAAAATCGGCACTGGCCATGATTTTGAACTTGACATATTCTAACAATGGAATACCCCCCTAAAATAGTCTAATCGGAAATTCCATCGTTCCAGACCAATTCACTTGAATCTGGTTCAAGGCCACCATGCTCTAAATGTACGGCAAGGTATGACTTTTTTGAAAAGGGTTGCCCCTGATTTAAAATTATAAAACCCGCACCGTTCGTTGTATTAGAAAAAATTTGGTTTCAATGAGAGCTGGACCTCTAGATGTGCAAGAAGGTTTCATTATTTTGAAAAGGGGTTGCCACCTGCTTAAAAAATCATAAGACGTACACCGTTCGTCTATAGATCCGCAAGGAAGAACCTCTAATTTTTTAATAAGGGTTGCCACCTGTTACACATTTTTATTCGTGGAGAACATCAGATTTACCCCGTTCTCTTGAGTTTCGAAATGAGGTGTCAAATTAAAGGTATTCACCTATAGACGTGATTTGGTTTTTTTTTTAAAGGGCCGCCGCCTAATTAAAAATGCATTGTTTAAAATAAGGTAGTAAAATATCACAATATGGGTTTGAGATTAAATTAACATGTTGGTGTTTTTAAGAGTTGCTAATTAAACACATTTATAACTACTAGTATCGCCCAGTTGTCGAAATTGGACATCCTTTCTTATACACTTTTGAATTTTACCTCTCACCAATTCGAATTACTATTTTGAAGTCCACCAGCATAATTTACAGGAAAACTCAAAATCGAATTATGATCGTTAATACCGGATTGATTAATGCTAATTCTACCAAGTCTCCTCCTCAGTAGCTTTTGAAAACAAACCGAAAAAGGAACCTCGATTTTCATTTATATATAAATATATATATATATATATATATATAACAATTCAGATGTAAATAAGTCCGTAAGTACGGTATTGACAACATAGGCGGTTCTTTATATAAGCGATATAAGAATTTCAGTTTGTTTGGGCGGTGCCACGCCCTCTTTTCCAAAATCTACCACTTTTCGCCGTAAGTACGGTGTAGACAACAAATGTTGCTGTGTCAAATTTCAGGACGTCAGCATAATCGGTTCCAGAGATAAGCGCTATGAGAATTTCTGTTTGTATGGGCGGTGCCACGCCCCTTTCCCATTATATACCACTTTTCGCCATAAGTACGTTATTGATATCAAAAATAGCTTTGTTAAATTTCAGGACGTTAGCATGAGTGGTTCAGAGATAAGCGATATGAGAATTTCAGTTTTTGTGGGCGGTGCCACGCCCCCCCTTTCCAAAATCTACCATATTTCGCCGTAAGTACGGTATTGACAACGTATGTTGCTGTGTTAAATTTCAGGGTGTCAGCATAAGCAGTTCCAGA